AATGTCCACTGGCAGTCTTAGCAATCTTCCGTCCAGGTTTGTCAGCACGAAACTGGGTTGATTAAGTGAGGAGAAAATGGCTTCAACGCGCAGGCCCTCAAGTGTTTGCAAAGCTCGGTTTCGAAGTTTTTTGCGTGCAGATGTGTGTTTGCATCCTTAGATTCCAGAGTGTTCTGGCTTCTGTCGTTGTCGACTCTAATTGCCGCGCTTTGGTTTTGTCTTCTATGTTCTACGAGAGGAAATTGAATTCTGTCCTTTGCGTGAATCTTCGGACTTTTTGGAGTAACGGTTGCTTTGAGACATTCCGCGAAAACGCATGCTCGCTCCTCGAGCTGCCCATCACCGGCCACGAAGTTCCGCTTGAGGGGGAGTCTGCCACCCTCGCCAAGTCGGCTCGCTGCACAGGCAGGCGAGGACAAGTCCTGCAGTCGGAAAAAGGCTTGGGGAAAACAAATATGTCAGTTGAATTGTTCGCATATTGGCTGTTTTGCCAGGGCGAGTGGTCGCCATGGTACTTGGAGCATGCAACATGAGCATGATTTTGGCACCTAACCGGTGGCAACGAGTAACGAATCGTATTACGATATTAATTCACCGTTTCCTTCCGCTTGCCATGGCACTGCAACTGCAGATTCGATCTTTGAATGGCAAGACATTGTCGTCACCCGGACTGTTTGGGGCAGGTGTCGCCGTTTTCGTTTGCCATTTCCATGTCCCCTAGAAATCGAAGGTTAACAGCGAGTTCGGCAGAGACGGTTTCCAGCTTGATGTCAAGGGTGCGTACCATGGCGGGAGATGCCACGCTGCTGCACGGAATGCAATCTGGAATCATTACCTGCAGTAGCGGGCATGATGCGTAGGATAAAATCGTTGCAATCTACGATAAGTCCTCGTGTGGGCTGTTTTGACATGGCTTCCGACATCGAGAACATGAATACGATGCCTTTGTTCTTGCAGTGCTCAGGTTGAAGTACCGAGTTTTCGCTTATGTTTGGCGACAGGCCGCCTGCTGTGAGCTATGCCTCGGTGTGGCACCTAAAAAAGCACTGGTTTCGGAATGTGTGAGTTCAACATGAGCGCTTTGTTAAAAGCTGCTACTGTTGATGCAATCCATAGTGTGACATTGCACATGTCGAGCTCGCAAGGGGATGGCATGACCGTCCTGGACGAGTCAGCTTCTCTCACTGTCTCTGGTAGCAGGGCTGAATTTGCCAGCTTTGGGGGAGCCAGTGCTGCTGGGTTTTGATCGGCGCGGGTCAGCCGGTCAGCCGATGTCTTTCATTTGACATGCAAAGGTGTGCGTGATGGAGCCACGTTGCTTGCGAGACGCCACTTGACTTGCGATCCAGCAAACCTTCAGTGTTGTGGATAATGGCTTTGTGAAGTTCCGAGGACAGCACCACGTGGCGCGGTTGACATTCGAGAAGAAGAGTGAAACCACCCGACCAATGTTTTGGCGATGAGCATTGCTGTAGCATAGCTAGCTGTCGAATGTTGCATAAACTGCCGACGGCATCTGTGGGGATCTTGGACAAACCCTTGTCTTGAGTGTGTGATGTGGAGCTTGTGGATTGAAGCAGCATGACTCAATGCATTTCAGCACGGACTGTAGAAATCTTACCTTGCATTTCGCACCGCATTTGGCTTCAGCTGTCGGTATGCTGTTGGCACCATGGCAGCCATGGATGCCAGCGTAAGTTTGGCACCTTTCGCTGAGGACGTGAACCCTTGCAGTGGCTGTCAGAGTCAGGGTGTAGAGTCGTCCCAAGAACCGACTCTGCTGTAGTCTTAGCGGGCACATTGTGTTCGAACGTTTCATCCATGCGGCAGGACACTACCCAAGCCTCCAAAGAGCAGCCGACACAGAAGGAGATTCGCTGTCGACGACTTGTGGCAGAGACTGCGAATCCCAGTTCTCGCTATGTGCCCTTGTCTATGACTGAGGTGGGTATTTCAAGTTATAAACAATCGCAGGGTCTGGGAAATATCAACATCGCAAGCATAAAGCCTAAAGCTAGGAATTTGGTCCAGCATGTTGCTGGTTCGACCTGCATGATGCGGGCTAGCGGTCATCAAGTCTTTAGCAACTTTTTCTGTGTACACCCAGGTTGGCAACACGCCGAAAGAAGAGCTGCTGCTGGAACATGTGGCTTGCAGAACAAGTGTTTTTCCTCGATATATACTGTTTCCAGTTCCTGCTCGAAGATGACACCGGGTCGTCGACTTTGGGGATCTTCGGGTGCTACAGCTACGGTTGCTCCGAGGTGAGGGAGTTTGAAGACCAGTTCGTCAATGTCTACGGCAACCGCTTCCTCTTCCTTTGCCCTCCAAACGAGTTCTCCCAGTTGCAGATAAAAAGTTGTTCAAAACGTTGCTTTCCGTCATGCCAACCAGGTATGGTGTGCCCAAGTTTTTGCCCACCACACTGCGGCCCACGCAACGCGGTTTTAAGATTGGGATTTGCCTCGTCGACTCACACATCTGGGCATGACTGCGGCGAGCCCGCGTGTCTAAGGCATCTTCCGTACCAAGAGCTTTACGAGTACAAGTCTTGTGCCAGATTTCTTGCTGACTTTTTCAACTACGTCACTCGGTACGATCTGACGACATCTTTTAGCAGCTTCCGCGGATGTGTTTCCGATGCAATTCTTTGTAGCGCTATTCCCTCCCAGCAAAACATGAGTTGCCACCGACTCAAGGATGAGCTCCACCCGGCTGACAGATACCCCACAGTGGTGCCAGCTCCAGCATCCGTGCTGAACTGGCAGGTGCGGGATAATAGAGCGGGCAGACAGGACGAAGAGAAATGCTAGCTTATGTGTTACGGCCTCGTAGTGCTGCTGTCCAGAGGCGGGTGATTGTTTTGATCTATCCATTGCCCTTGCCTCGTTGCTCATTGGAGTGGGTTGCTTGGCGGCGAGGAAGGACAGGCAGACACTGCACAGACCAGCGCAACGCGACTTTGACTCCTTTGCGATGTTCCTGCCAAGGCTACGACGCCTACTGCGTTAGTGGCTTCGCACCGAGGTTCATCACAACTCGTCGCCTGGCTTTGTATCCGTGAATGGCTTCACCATGTGTGAGCAGCAAGCTGGCTCCTGACCCAGGCAACGAAGCTCGCAGTGCATGCCCACAGCTGGATGCCGACATCGAGGAAACCAAGGAGGAGGACAAGCAGGACGGGAGCGGGCGATCGTAGCAGCAGTCATGAAGCATTCATCAGAAGCAGCGTTATTCACCGAGAGATTTTTTGGAGTTGTTCCTTGCGTGTTCATGAGTCGAAGTCCCAAAACACAAAGGGCAGGATCCACCAGGTCCGTGGATAGCAGCATGGATGAAAACAGCTGTTAAGGTTTACAGCATGAAGAAATTTCAGCAGTTCTCCGATAGCCTTTTTTTCAGCAGTTTCCTGGAACCAGCATTCTGGGCTTGCTGTCTCTAGTGTGTGTGTGTGTGTGTGTCTGTGTGTCTGTGTGAGGATGTACTGATCTGTTTTGAACAGTCCGCAGCGGGAAAACCAATGAATCCAGAATTTAAAATACAATTAAATCTCGATTTAATTGTTCGGTTTTCTTTCCATAGACACAATTAAATCTAGTTCTAATTGTGTCTTTATGCATTTCTCTAATAAACAGTTAAATCGTGAGTTTGCCGCACATTAAATCATGATTTAATTGCATAATTTTGGCGTCCTCTTCTTGGTAACCACCAGTAATGTAGTTGGTTCCTATCACGTTCGAAGGAAAGGTGGCCTGAATAAGTAGATCACCACAGTGGCCGGCCGCAGGTTTATCGGGCGTAGGGATTGCAAGCTCCGAAGCTTCCGTGTGGATCTTGTCAAAGCTAGGTTGTACCGTTCGTCTCGCTGCATTCCAGTAGAATCTGCTTAGAGACTTGTGCCAGTTCGCTGGCGGGATACCACATAAAATCATGGTTTCATTGCGTAATTTGGCGTCCTTTTCTTGTTAACCACCAGTCATGTAGTTGGTTCCTATCATGTTCGAAGGAAAGCTAGCATGGAACCCGTCTTGCAATCCAGTCTGTGGGGTGGGTTCCTACCTCAGCCTCGCACGGACCTCGCGCATCCTCGTCTTTGGTAGGCTTCGGGCCACATACTAGCAGGCAAGCTCAAGAAGGATGGTGGTCAGCAGTCTCTTGCCATCCAAGTTGACGGACACACTCTCGACTTGGAACGCGCCGTGCCGAAACGCAAGCTCGTCAATGTCGAGGTGGCTCGGCTTGAGACAGCACAGACAGGGAGAGCTGCAGCGACTCAACGCAATCCTGCGGCGGTCGCTGCCGGTGGAAAAGCTTCGGGCAAGAGCGGCTGCAACACGGCCACCAACAACGCCAAGGCGGCCGGCAGAGGTAGTTCGCAAAGTGGAGCTGATCAGGCCGGAGGCCGAGGCCGCCCGGATACGACCACTGGAGATGCCAAGGATCGATCTCGCTCAACCCCTGCAGCGGAGACCTGGTATGACATCCATGAATGTGGTGGCGGTGGCAGATTCTGCTTCAACACCATCGGCAATCATTACGCAGTGTACCGGGACGGCTTTAACTGGACCGACGCCAACAAGTTGGCTAAATCCCGTGGAGCCACCCTACGGACGGAGATTGCAAGCTACATCAGGGAGAAGGAGGCTACTTTCAAGCCGTTCTGGCTGCCGAGCCCGGAACCTGCAAGTGAAGCGGACAAAGTCAATCAGGAGCAGCTCGAGGGCGGCCCGCCGCCGAGGACCTAGAGCGCTTACTTGAGCGCCCTTGACAGACCGGCGAGGTGGGCAGACGATTTGTCGTTCAGAGCGGCCACCAAACGCCTCAACTGCAGGATACTGGTCGTCGCCAAACCTTCTCAGCTCCTGGCGTATGGAAAGCAAATTCCCTTTAAAGACGGCCGGCGACAAGTGGTGGTGCCTCTGCTATATAAAGATAAACATTATCAACTTGTAGCACCGAAGGCGGGCAAGTCTCTGCCAGCTGAGTGGCTGACAGCCGAAGCTGGGGGCTACGTCAGTGCTCCTCGAGGTGGGGGATGGCTGCCTTCAAGAGGCTCCGCAAAGTCTTCTTCAAAGGGCAGTCAACGCAACTGGTTGCCGTCGCGCGCTTCTTCTTCTGCCTCGTCGGCGGCACCTTCGGGCGCAGGAGAGGGCAAAGGTTGGTTGCCGTCGAGGGCCTTTAGCACTGCTAAAAGCAAGGAGGCAAGCCGAGACAACAGCCTTCTCAGCACCGTTGGGCCGGCCGGGAGCCTGTTGAGGCCTCTGCGCTTTCGCGGGAAGTGGGCACTCCTGGCCAGCGCAAGCTGCACTGCTTCTTTAGAGCGGTGCCTTCCGTCCCTGGAGGTGCGGCCCTTATACTGAGCGTGCACGCTTCGTTTGTGAGCAGGAGGGGACTTCGCAGACCGGCCCCGCTTCTTCCATCGAGCACACTTCAGGGATGCAAGGCTGGGGTGGGGATGCTGCTTCCTTCCCGGAACTGAGAGAGGAGCACGGGTCGCTCCATGCCCGTGTTGCGGGGCTCGCTTGAAGACTGGCAGGGTCGTAAGCACTGCTCTTCCCATGATGTCTCCCACCGGCCGGTGGGGAGGTCAGGCACAAACGCTCTCATTGGGGTTGCCGTGCATGTGGGCGCCTTTGGCACACATACAATAACTTGATCCTTGATGTTGCCGAAGATGCGAGTGCTTGTTGCAGAGGGAGGGAGGGGAGACGGGCAAATTTTTATGAGCCTAGGTTTCAGCGGCTCAGCTAATTGCTCTGTTGATTCGGGGCGCAAATGTGCGCTCTAGGCCCAAACAACGCACGAGCCAAGGCATGAGATCACGAGACAAGGCCAAGGCACAACGTGCTAAGGCAGGCTTTCTTCGGCGCGATGGGCGCCCGGCACCTGTTTCGAACAAGCAGGAGAGGGCCCAGGGGCCTAAAGCTGAGGTACCTGGCCAGACTGAGGCATCATCGTCGTCTACTCGGCGGTGGAAGTGGACATGCCCCTTCGGTGATGTGGTAGGGTTCGCTAGTAACGCCGGGCTTGCTCACACTCAGGCGTGCAGGCATCGGCTCAAGCTCCATCGTGCTCAAATTCTTCGCGAGCGAGAGGACAGGGCTAGGTACAAGGTACGCAAGGTTGGGGATCATTTTGAGTGGGAGTGTAATGTGTGCAGTAGGATCTTGAAGGCTCCTAGTAAGCAGCAGCTTCAGTGCATGCATTGGCGGCATATCAGAGTTGACCATGCTGATCGACCGATACGGGACTTCACGACGTTGGAGGGCCGTCGCTGTAGGACTAATCAGGTTTCGGTTCAGGGCTGTAAGCGTAAGCTGAAGCAGTTCTTGGACGGACGACGACAGGCCGTAGTGTGTGAGGGAGTGGAGCCCCACCCGGGGCCCGAGGCTCACACGACTTCTTCGTCTACCCCGACGCGGACGCTTAGGTGGACACAACGTCGCAGGAGTGCAGAACCTTTGGGAAGCCCTTCCGGAAGTCAAGACGCTGCGGCCGCACGTGGTTACTTTCCAGGAGTGCAGGGCCTCTCCGGATGACTACGCCTCGTTTTCTGCTGAGCTCCGACGTTTTGGTTACAAGGCTTGGTACGTGAGCCGCGGGCCTGCTCATCAGAGGAATGGCAGGCAGTGAGGCCAATCTGCACGATACTTTGGTGGCGTGTTGGTCGGCATCAGGGATGACGTGAGGGCGTCCCTCATCACGACACATGCTGGTGATGACGGCGAGTACGTTACTGTAGACTTGGGAGGCCTGGTGATGGTGGGGCTCTGGCGGAGACCGGGCGCTGAAGGAGAGCTTCTCCATTCCCTCCACGACGTCGTCCAGGGAGCACGCGCTCGAGGTGAACGAGAACCTGTTCAGTGAGCTGGGGGACGTGTGGGCCGTCCCGGAGGGCAGCCGTTGGGCGCCAACCCGTTGGGAAGGCAGGCGATGTGTCGACTACAGCGTCTTCTTGGGCCACCGCGCGTGGAGTTTGGCACGGCTCGCATCTCCGACCACAAGGCCATTTGGACCAGTTTTTCGTGGAGGGCCAGTTTGGAGCCTGGCTGGGTGGCCAAGCCTACTGAGTCACTCGCCAAGCCTACTGGTGTCTCTGCTGCCGTCTGGAAACAGGTTTTGGCAGCACGCGAAGCTGAGATACCTGACAGCACCAGCGCTGACGAGTGGATGGCTCTCCACCGGATGGCTACGGCGGTTCATCATCGTGCGCTTCATCGTTGTGGGTGCGCCGCCAAGCGGCGCGGCGTCCGTGACAAGGGCTCCGAGATCGTCGTAGACAGGCAGCAGGACAGAGGCCTGCGGCGCGAGCTGGACGAGACCATCGAGCTCCGCAGGTTGGCAAACTGGCTGGGCAGGCTGGCTGAGTTGCAACGTCAGCTGCAATCTGGACGTCGTGCTGATGACCTCTGGAGGCGGGTTAACCACAGTTGGCCTCAAAGTGTCCCTCGCGATCGGCTTCGCTCGGTCAAAAGATGGGGCAGCGGCGTGATCGGATGAGCGCTGAAGGCGGCTATGCTACGAGATGGCTCCTTGGCAAACTTGCGTCAGGAGGACAATCGAACATCCTCAAGTCCACGGGAGGCTACACATCCACGATCCAGGAGGCATTCACTGAGCTGGTTTCCTTTTGGGAGCAGATTTGGCACCGCGATGCACAGTGTGAAGAGCTTGAGCGGCTCCCGCGCTGGCAACCTCACTCGGGAGCAGGCGCAACCCGCCCAGGACTGGCAGCTGCAGGCGTCGGGCTTGCACGCGGCCGCTGCTGCCAAGCGTGATGGTGCAGTGGGGCCTGACCGCTGGAGCTGCGCCGAAATCCATGCTTGGCCGGAGCACGCGTGGCACACCTACTTGGACATTTGGCAGCGCTGGGCTTCGCGCGATCAGTGGCCGGCCCAGTTAAGCAGCTACAGACAGGTCTTCTTGGCCAAGGACCAGGGTGAGGGGGCCGACAGCTTTCGCCCGATATCCATTCAGTCGGTGTTCAACAGAGTGATTGCTACGGCCATGGCTCGCCAACCACAGGTGCAACGCTGGATGCTCCAGCTGGTCCACGAGGGGTCCGCTCGGCGGTGGTGCGGCTTTTGGAGGCCTGGGAGGACCCCGATGCCATCTTGTTATCCATGGACATGCGCAAAGGCTTTGATATATGGCGCACCCAGCTCTGATGACGGGGCTGCTGAGGCACCATGGCATTCC